TTGCAAGGCAGATACTTATTCCGCAGCCAGTCAAGAATATACTGTTTGTTCCACGCAGTCGTTGGAAGTTTTTCTACTAGTCGTGAATGATAGATGCATTATCTAATACTATAATTGTATTTGGTGGTATAGGCAAACCATGCTTAACAAATCATTTTCACTGCCAATGTGAGAAATTATTAATCTACGGCCTTTACCAGAAGGTGGAGAGATACCAGTAGACCAACCTTCCATAAAGGCTTGCCTGGAGCTTAATATATTTTTATCTGACCAAACTTTTTTTAGAGTATGACCTGAGTTTACCCACGTTTCATCCTGGTAGAAGATTGGCCTTCCTTCAGCCCGAAATTTTCGTATGGATCTTAGATAATTTCTTCTCCAATATATTATCTCCTTACGGTCAATCAAAAGTGATTTTCGGTATGATTTCTCCCACCGGAAATTTAATTCTTTTAAAACTTGCGACAATTTAGTTCGTCCAATATGAGGCAAATCCGGGTCGTGTCTAACTTCTTGTAAAATTTTGTTTAGGTTTGGTATTTCTTTTTTGAAATAAAATCCATGAATTTTCCTTTGAATACCATTTTTGTCTAATTCATCAATTTCAATAGGCTTTTTTCCGCTCTTTACTTGTTCGTTTGTGTTTGGGTTAGCTATACCGTGTTTTCTTTCTTTCTGATAGGAACCTATATATAGTTGACTCCCCTACACCAGTCATTTTGGCACAATTTTCGACTATGTTGCGAACAGTGTTTGTGGGATTCTGAAAAACCAGAGCATCGTGTCCATTCAGGACAATAGTCTTCTCTCTTGGTGAATAGACAGACTTACTGACTGTACGCAACAGTACCGGTGTAAAACTTGATGATGTTGATGATGAAGCCATCACAAACAATCCAACAAAACGAGCACGAGCGAAAGGTACGTATATGTTCGTAGGTATGGAAGAAAATATCACTTAAGCACTGCATATAATTCGCAAGAGAAATATTCGAGACGCTAATTACTGTCATAGACGCGGAAACACCGACGAGCCGTAAATTACATGCGATCAAAAATGTACCAAACAAAAAAATTGTTTTCGTTCGTAATAACTGCACCCTTCAAGTTTCGAATTTAAACTGAACAGACGAGGCACGTGGCCAAAGCCGGTATCGTTATACCCATTATATTATTAAAAATCTGGGGAATTTTATCCTAATTATCTTGCAACGAATAGTACCTTCGGATATCAATTCCAGGTTTTCTAGTAAAATACTTAAACGCAAAGATTAGTATTGAAATATCCAAAGAGATAAGGCATTCTTATTTACAAAATTGTTAATGGTTAAATTCTTATTTTTATTAATATAATATAATAACCAACATTAGCCGTGAAAGTTTTAATTATTTTTTGCTAAATATATTAGTAATAAAACAGTATTAATATTAATATTAATTTTAATGAATAAACACCTCAGGAACGCCTTTGAACTTTTACACATCTATTTACTACCTTTTTATGACTTTGAGGCACATTCCGTGCTATCAACAATTTCTGAACGGATAATACAAATGTCCAATAAGCAATGTCTTAATCAGTCACAAAATCAGTCAGCGTGCAGAAACTAGTCAGTCTTAAAACTATGCTTTCGATGTGGAAGACGACATCAACCAGAAACATGCCCAGCAGTTAATTGGGAATGTTTTTTATGTCAAAAAGTGAAACATACCAGTAGAGTCTGTAAAAGAAAAAAAAGTTAACCAGGTAGAAGTGCCAGAAGAGGAAGAAAGCAGTGGATTCTTGCAATTAGGTCATATCGCAGACCTCACCACGGCTATGGGAAAACCCTGAAAAGTGAATGTGCAAGCTGAACGTGTGCTTTTAGGTATGGAAATTGATAGTGGTGCAGACTTAAGATTTAAGTCAGTCATACATATAACTGATTTTTCGAAATATTTAAGTGCAAGACAAACAGTACTAATGTTAGGTTAAGGACTGTTACTGACAATACCATTTCAATTATAGGTCAAATCTATGTGAATATCTTGTACAAAAGCCAGTTAACCTCGTTCAGTTTTTGCGTTTGATAGGAAGGAATTGGCTAAATGTTTTCAATCCTTCTTGGAAGACAGCCTTGTTTAATCAGTTAACAATTGATTATAGTGTATAGTAGTAAAACTTATTTAAGTAAAAATAATTTGAGTTTAATGGGTATAGGTCTAGATCAGAATTTGTTAAAGTCAAATATGCAATAAAAATTAAATTATGTTGTAGATGAACGTAGTTATACTCAGTATAAAAGTCACCTTATATTAGAGTTAAAGTCACAGATTTTAATATATTTAAAGATGACCCCAACTCATGAATAAGAAATATTAAAGTTGAATTTAAGCTAACGTACGTCCTATTTTTCATAAAGCATATTTATAATATGCGCTATGCCATTAAGTCTAAGGTAGAGGAGTTGAATCGGACGGTAGAGTCAGGAATTTTAACTAAAACTAGAATTAGTTCGTGGGCAGCCCTATAGTGTTGTTTCCAAAGAGAGAGAAAACATCTTTTCGAATATGCTTAGATTTCAAAAAAACGGTAAATCAGGTTATTGAGACAAATCACTGTGTGTTACCTCTACTAGTGGACATATTTTCAAAATAGTATTTACTGAAAAATCAAGGAAGTTACTTACCGTTTACACCGAAATACCGTGTACAGTTTTGTTTAACATAATGAAATTTTTTTAATTTTGGGCTACAACGATTTGTTGATTTGTATATATATATATATTTGCCACCATAACCGCTAACCTCCATTGATGGAGACGGCACTTGAAGAAGAAGATATATATATATATATATATCTTCTGGAATATATATATATATATATATATATATATATATATATATATATATATATATATATATATATATATATATATATATATATATATATATATGTATATTATGCGAAATTCGAATTCATATAATATCATGTCATAGCCCTAACAAACATGGTTTCACAAGCAAAGGATAAGTAATATATCCAGAAATAATATATTATTTCACTAATTTTAACTAATATCTTAAGGTATAATATTGTAACGGAAGTAGTGACGGTGAGAAAGCTAGAAAATAAGTTATTGAGCTGTTCCAATGGGTCGATACAGCAATAAATATTATTACTTAAATACATGGAACTCTCAACCTCATTCCGATCCTGGTCATTTTTAAATATATGTATTTAAATGCTACATGTAATAGATACAAAGACGGGTGTACGAGACAAATATTTGCTTTATGATATTTACACATAAATTTTATTACTTTCTCTTTTTTAGAAATCAAAATGTTGAAATTAATCTCGTTTCTTATTAATACAAATAAAAATAAATGAACCAGTTCCGCCATCTAGTAGTGAGACATCTAACTGAAATACTTTACTCATATTGATATCTACAAAAAGTACACGTGACAAAGATGTAGATGGCACTACAAAATAGCTTACAAATTGTTAAATGGACCATGACCAAAGTGTGAATGGTGTGGGTGGACTAATCGCAACATACATAAGTAAAATAAGTAAATTCGCATTGGGGAGGCCTTTTTCGGTAGGTACCTGTTTCGAAATCTACTCAATTGATCAATAAACCAAATATCTGTAAATAAAACCTGTGACATACCTACTTATGATAATGAAATAAATATATGATAAGTCTACCGAGGGAGATTATTGAATAGCAAAGTGAATTGGGAAAATATGTTTATTTTGTATTTAACTCATGTTTATTTTGTAACTCTGTATATTGCCAAGATTCTCTAGTAAGGATCTATAATTATGTTTCGAATCTTGGCCGCTAAATTAGACAATCGGTCCTGTTTCATACTATTTCTAAAATAATATTTAGATAATGCTGAGGCAGTAGTTACGTACAGGTGTACTCAGTGGCGGATCCAGAAATTTTTGTCGGGGGAGGGGTGGTCATGGGTCTTGAGGGTGATTTTGATATAATTTGTGACGCATGCATGTAAGGGAACCGTTTTCTCAATAAATATTTTAAGCGATATATTAAACCAATGAGAAGTTATTAAAACCCAAATAACCTGAGGGTACAAAGAAGGGTACAAAATTAAGGCGTTTTTAACTTAAACAAAAAAAAATTTAAACCCACATACTCTATGACAGTAAAATCAAGTGTACAAGACTACTAAACCAAAGGAAAGTTATTGAAATATAAATACTGAAAAATTAAGGACTGTCAATTTAAACTAGGTATTTTAAAGACAATTAATTTAAACCCACCTATCCTATGGCTACAAAATTAAAAACAAACCCAGGATAAATAAGTATAAATCAAAGTCAAGTAATTTAAATGCAATAACTCAATGTAAGCGTAAACATTAATGTATTAAACATTTCTAATAAACTCTATCTTGTCGTTGGATATCCAATATCAATCTGTAAAAACATTCATTTATTCTTTATTATCTACTATAAGGAGTGAAAACGTGTACTTTCGGAATTACAAGTATGAGGCGTATAGAAGCCTTTAAAATGTATGTTTTTCGAAGGATGCTGCAGATTTCGTGGACAGAGCACATGACCAAAAACGACGGGATGAGAAGAGAAAAATATCACTTTCTACGACTCATAATGGAAGGGAAAGTAAAAGGAAAAAGAACTCCAGGCAGAAGAAAATGCTCCTAGCTGAAAGATGTAAGATACTGGACAGTCATGGACACACATTCGATACTAAGAAAAGCTTAAGATAGAGAACAATTTACTGTAGTTATAGGTACCCTTCTGTAATTAAGAAGAAACCTTAAGAAGAAGTGTAGACAGCATTTTATTTAAATTAATTTATTCAACAAAAAACATTATATAATTTGATAATAGTTATTTCTATAATTAGGCATATTCGTTGAAATTTTTTCTCACGAATCATCAGGAATACAGCCGGCAACGAGTGGTAAAAAATGAATGTTCAGTGATTAAAAATAAGATAAATAAATATTATATAATTTTATAAAATGTATTCTTTTCGCCTATCCGATTTAGCAAATCGCTCTATGATTGCATCAACATCTAGAGAAATTTCAGGATGCACATTGGTGAGTGCTAAACCAGTTAACCTTTCCTCCGAAGTTCTATTTCTAAGCCAAGTCTTTAGACTCTTAAGCGCAGAAAAACTACGCTTTGCTCTTGCTAAATCAGTTAAGATGTTGTCTAAAACGGGCAAATAAACAGATCTTTGGAAATATTCTTCAGGATAGTTAGCAGATTGGTTTTGACGAGAAACTATACGAGGCATCTTCAATTCAATGTCTAGTTGTTCAGATATTTTCTTTGCTTCATAGTAAAGTTTGCTAAAAACAGATTCAGCATTTGATCTTTTATTTTGAAGAATGCATTTAGTGTCCTCTGTGGCCTCAGTAGCCTTCTCCAAATCTAATTTTGGTGACTGAAGAAGACGACTAAGTGATACAGTTGTATCTAAAACATCACTAGGACAAATTAGTGAAATGAGAAATTTCTTTGCTCCTAATAGCTTGCATTAATGAAAATGCATCAGTTGACGTTTTACTGTCCTTCCACGTAGAAATTGTTTCAAGAGCGTTGCATATTTTAATGATTGATTCACCCTGGAACTGAAGATGACCTTAATGCCTTTCAACCCAACAGGTTTCACAAATACCTTGGACAGCAGATTCCAGTGTTTTCTTAAAAACATCATGTCATTTGGGAGAAGCATTAGCAAAAGCTATTACTTTTCTCATAGTTCCTGAAGTATTACGACATGATATATAGTGTGATGTGGAAGAATAATATAAAGCATTAAACATGGTTTTATTTTACTAACTAAAATCGAACCGTGATTACAATTATAACCTTTTTTACATCGACAATTGACAATTGACATTTGTTATATCTTCTTCTACTTCTTCTTCTGTTATATCTATTACAATATACTACAACACCTCCCCACTATAAGTTTAAACGCACAGGTAGTTTTACATTTCTTTTTGACCTACTTGGAACTGCTATCACACTTTCTCTGGTCTCTGGTTTCTCATTAACCTCACTAACCACTGCTTCACTTGCTACTTCATTACCAGACTCTTCAAAATTTCTTGCTTCAATATCATTTTGTTTTAACACTTCCCCTTCTCTTACAGCTGAGAGGGGTTCAACAGTATTACTAATGGTATTATTATTATTAGTTATATCAGTTACAATGGTTTCATTAAGACTATCGTAGTTAGAATCAGATTCTTTATCTCGCAAAATCTGGTCCAAATGTCTTTTCCAAATTAAACCTTCCTGTGTTAACTTACACAAATATATCCTGTCACCTAAAAGTTCATCTATTATTGCTTTTGCCCATGTTTTACGATTAGGATAACGATAATCTCTACAAAGGACCTTATCTCCCACTTGAAAAGTTTCAATTCGTCTATTACTATTTAATTTATTATCAATTAATTTAGAACTCTGATTCTCACTACCTGTCCATAACAAATCTAATCGGGTTTTAACTTTATGTTTAAATACAAGACTGGAGGGTGATACACCTGTAGTACAATGTACTGAATTTCTATAATGGAACACTAACTTACTGATTATAGTTTGTAAAGAATTATTACAGTTGTAATCATCCTTCAATCCTTTCAAAGCAGCATTTTTAAATGTTTTAACAAAATTCTCTGCAAACCCATTTGTTGCTGGATGATATGGTGGTGATGTAGAGTGTTTAATACCATTATTATGTAAAAACTGTGAAAATTCACCTGATGAAAATTGAGGGCCATTATCTGTAACAACTACTTTAGGTAAACCAAACCGAGCAAAACAATCTCTAAATTTCTCAATAGTCTCACCAGCAGTCAAACTATTCATAATAAATGCTTCTGGCCATTTTGTAAAAGTATCAATGATTATCAAAATCATTTTATTTCTTATGGGACCCAAAAAATCAGCATGCACCCTCTCAAACATACATGTTCCCTTTTCACATGATATTAACTTAGCTTTACTTGGTTCTGCTCTAAACCCTAAACAAATTTTACAATTATTTACATAAGATTCAATATCTGTATCTAAACTTGGCCACCAAAAATAAGCTCGTGCATTTGCTTTCATCTTGGAAATTCCTTCATGAGTATTGTGCAACTCTAACAGCAATTGTTTTCTTAACTTTGTTGGCACTACTACTCGAAATCCCCACATAATCACCCCCTTCTCCACAGATAGTTCTTCTCTTCTATTTAAAAATGGTTTCATTATTTCATCTACTGTCTCCGGGAATCCATACCTAATATGGTTAAACAAACGACCTAACACCGGATCTGTCCTGGTTTCTACCCTTATCTTGAGGGTATCAATTGGAGCCAACCCTTCTATAAAATGTAAGTAATCAACATCTTCCTCTTTTTCGCTTACTGTTTTTTCTAGAGGAAGTCGACTCAATGCATCTGCCTGCACATTGTCAGCTCCTTTAATAAATTTAAAAACATAATCAAATCCTGACAGAAACAATGACCAACGCTGTAACCTTGCTGAGGCCATTTTTGGGAGACTTTTAAACTCACCAAAAGGTGCCTGCAGGGGCTTATGATCACTCAAGATTTCAAACTTTTTACCTGCTAAGTAATGATAAAGCTTCTGTACTGCCCAAACAATTGCTAAGGCTTCTTTATGAACCATAGCATAATTTCTCTCTGCCTTATTTAAGACCCTTGATATAAAGCAAACTGATCGTTGCGATCCATCTGGCAGTACATGCAATAATGCAGCACCTAACCCATATTCTGAACTATCACAAACTAGTCTAATAGGTTTATTTTGATCAAAATGCATTAACACATGACTCGAAGTTATCTCCTTCTTAATAGCATCAAATGAATTTTGACAATTATCTGTCCATAAATATTTGCTATTTTTTTCTAAAAGTTTATATAATGGATTCACCCTGTCAGCTAAGTTTGGAATAAATTTAGAATAATAATTTATCATACCTAGAAATGATCTTAACTCTGTCAAATTCTTTGGTTTAGGCAGTTTCACAATTGCTTCTACTTTTTTATTATCTGTTTCCAGCCCCCTATTTGAAATTTTATGTCCTAAATAAAAAATACAATCTTTAGCAAATTCACATTTACTCAAATTTAATCTAAATCCTGCTTTTAAAAGTCTCTCAAGAACCTCAGCCAAGTTCTCTAAATGTTCTTTGTTATCTTTCCCTGTAACTACTACATCATCTAAATAATTGACTGTGCCCCTACAACCCTGCAAAACTTTCTCCACTATACACTGAAAAATAGAACAAGCTGGTTTTGTTCCATATGGGAGTCTTTTAACTCTAAAAATTCCGTAAGGTGTACTCCAAGATAGTAAATGTGATGTTTCAGAATCTAATTCTAACTGATTATAAGCGTTTTTAAAATCTAGTTTAGTGAACTTTTCCCCACCTTTCAAAGCAGCAAAAATATCTTCTATTAAAGGCAGTGGATAATTTGAATCTTTTAAATATTTGTTAATTGTTACTTTATAATTAGCACATACCCTTACTTCCTTACCATTAGGTTTGAGCACAGGTACCAATGGTGTACCCCACAAAGCATTTTCTACTTTCTCTATTACCCCTTCTTTCTCTAACCTAAGCAACTCTGCCTTTACTTTCTCTCTAAATGCAAAAGGAATTTGATGTGGTTTTTGAAAAATTGGCCTAACATCTTTTTCCATCTCTAAATGAACTTGCTCACCTATATATTTACCTAGTTCATCATTAAAAATTTTCTCATATTTTCTTAATAAAACATTTAAATGTGATTTAAAGTCAATTTCATTTATACTTATTTCATTAATCTGGATACACTTGCTAAAACTTAATTCATGATTTCCAATATAGACTTTTGTTCCCTTTATGGATAAATTAAATTTTATAAAGATATCTCTGCCTAACAGTGCCTTAGTAGCTCCCTCCACTACTGTCAATGAAACATTTTCAACTCTATCACCTATTTTGCTTTGTACCTCAATTTTACCTTTTGGTATTACTACTGGTCCATCATAATACTTTAATTTAATCAAACTTGGTTTTAACTCTACCATTGAAAAACATTGGTTATACATACTAAAAGGAATGCAAGAAACACCAGCTCCTGTATCTATTTCCATAACAATAGGTTGCTGATTTATTAAAACGGTTATTGACATTGGTTTAATACAAGCCTCAACATTACAAACATCCATCTGCAGCATCTCCACCATACCATTTACCTCTGGGGTATTGTCCTCAGCATCTACATTATTATAAGTTTCTATAAAATTGTTTCCCCTAACTTTACATGCTGCTGCAATATGCCCTACTTTTTTACATTTATTACAAATAAATTTTCTAAACTTACACATTTTAAAATCATGATCTGGTTTATTACAATAAAAACACAAAGTATCTCTTTTATTACTTACAGATATCCTACCAGTCTTAGTTTGATTTGATGAACTTGGTTGTCTTACTTGAATTTTCTTACCACCTTCCCTTCTGGCTTCTGAATAATTTATGTCCACTCCTCTGGATTCCCTCAAAGCTGCTTCTTTTGCCAGTGCTATTTCTAAAAGAACTTTTAAAGCCCTATGGGGATCTTCTTCACATAAGCGGTCTAATATTGGGCCTGGTTTTATTCCAACTACGAATTTCTCTTGTACTCTATACATTAACTTATCACCAAATTCACATTGCGTTGCCATATTTTTAACTTTAATATACCATTCATTTATAGTTTCGTCTTCCTGTCTCAATGTTTCAAATTTTATTCTTCTATAAATCGCAATGCGAAGTTTAAATTGGCTTTTTAATAGTGCCATAATATCATCAAATGATTTCTCTTTTGGTTTGCTAGGTGCACATAGGTTTTTCAACACTTTGTAAATGTCTTCACTGAGTAATGTTAATAACACAGCAACTTTTCTTCCTTCTTCTACTAAATTAGCCAATAAATATTGTTCTAACCTTTCTTCAAATATTTCAAAATCGTCACCACTTCTAAACGTTGCTAATGAAGATATATTCCCTGCATGTACAACTGTTATGGGCTGTGATTGTGATCCACATGGCTCCCCGGCCTGTATATCGTTTCCACTCTTTGGCATTTTTAGCAATGTTTACTCTAAAAATATGTACCTAAACGAAATCCTTGAAATATACACAGTCACTTTTCCATTTACCTCGTCGCCAAATTAGTGTGATGTGGAAGAATAATATAAAGCATTAAACATGGTTTTATTTTACTAACTAAAATCGAACCGTGATTACAATTATAACCTTTTTTACATCGACAATTGACAATTGACATTTGTTATATCTTCTTCTACTTCTTCTTCTGTTATATCTATTACAATATACTACAATATACCTAAATTTTGAGGAGCTTGTCAAGAAATTATTAAAAAAATGATTGCAACATGGACAACGCACAAAATGTTTGGCCGATTTTTTTAATTCTTTAACGGCACCTTTCGTTTCGGATACCATTACTGAGCAAATGTCGACACCAAAACCTATGCAAAAGTTTAAATCTAAATTAAAATTCTTTACGGAATCTTCAACAATATATATATATATATATATATATATATATATATATATATATATATATATATATATATATATAGCGAAATATCAATCATGACATGCCAGAGTACCTAGGGAATGAGATAACTCAATAATTATGCGTCCCCCCTTCCACTATTTTCTCCTTAATTCGAAAATATCAACCGCACGAAAAAATTTTTAAAATAAAAATTATAGGAAATTGCATTTCCTATAATGCTACAATTTCGGTCCTTACCCCATTGTCTTCATTAAAGTGATTGAAATGGCTTATAAAAAATGGCGGAGATATTGAGCAAAAACGGTCATCTTTTAAAATCAATATGGCGGCTGAGGCAACGGTGGAATTTATTCGCGATTTTAAACTAACACTACTATGAACCTCCCTAAAGGTCAGAATAATAAAATTTGGGGTAGCTCGCCATTCAATTTCAAATGCTATCCTGACTGGACTACAAAGAGAGTTCTATTTGCTATTGCTATGCGTCTTTTTACTTCGTCGCTTGTCTTGTTTGTTGTGTTTACTGAGATCCAAGATATGTGAATTCTTTGACTTGATCAAAGGTTCTTATAGTTGTTTATTTGGATTCTGTGTTAAACATTTTAAGGGCTTTTAGCAAACGACGTATATAACCAACAGGGTTCTTTCATCGGGTACTGTGCCTAAATCATTAACCCTCGGTTAGTGTTCTGGCCCTGGGATACCATACGCCAGGTACTCCTTTTATTTCTATAAAATCGAAAGTAGCGCCTTCTAGCTCTTAGTAGCTGTAGTTTATATATGTTTTTTCACGATTACCTTGTTACCAGCTGTACATACAATTTCAGTTTGAATTAGGAGTTGGTCAAAGATGGTTGGGGTATGTGATACGCCGAAACACTACTGTTGTAACTTAGTAGAGTTGTTTTTTGTTCTAGAGGTAAATTTACATGATATTTTCTCGAGATGTACTATGATTTTTATTTTTCTTTTAGCAATACGGAATTATGGAATAATTATGTCTTACGAACAAGAGCAAGAAAGGTTAAAACGTTTATGGGCGGAGTTTGGCAGTATTTTTGACGATAATAAATCGGTCATTGATAGTGAATCTGAGGAAGAACAAACCACATTAGAAAGTCAAGAGGCAATCATATTGAAAGAAGTGGCTCAAGGAGAGACACATTACATATTTACACAGTGCAAAAGAAATACCACGAGAAAAGCAGATTGTTCTTGATTGTTGGTTGTTATTATTTACAGAAGAAATGTTACATGACATTGTTGTATAAAAATGTAAAATTATCGGTGAAAGTCCCCTGGTCCGGTGCACGACATCAGTATTTAATCAAAGGGACTGACAAAATAGAAATCAAAGCTGTTATAGGCCTCCTCTATTTGACGGGACTTTACAAGTCAAACCGACAAAATATTTCAGATCTATGAAATGAAATATAAAATACTGATGGCAGCGGTATTGATCTCATTCTAACAACAATGTCACAACAAAGATATTCCATTCTGTTGCAATGTTTGCAATTGGACAATGTGCAAAATAGAGTATAAACAGTTCGACAAATTGACAGCAATTAGAGGTATGTTTAATCAACTAGTTGTCAACTGTAAAACACACTATATACTAAGTCCACATCTTACAATAGATGACAAACTGGAATCGTTCATGGGACGTGTGTCATTTCTTCAATACATACGGAATAAGCCAGAGAAGTATGGCTTAAAAGTAGTTGCGCTAGTGAATGCCAAAACTTACTACTGTCTAAATATGGAGATTTACGTCGGCACACAGCCAGAAGGACCTTTCCGACAAAGTAACAATCCGCAAAACATAGCCAGTTTCTGGTACTAAACGTAGAGTAAAGTGCCCTAATATCGGATACTTTTTTTAACCCTAACATTAGTTTTAATACGTCAATTAATTTGTGAATATTTTAGAGCAAAACAAGTAATAGACTATAGAAAATCATTTATTCTCGGTAAATTTAGATTGACAAAAAAATGTTTCTAATACCGGATATTAGGATAACGGTGTAAAACTAGACATGAGGAAGAAATCACAAATATATGTGTCTTTTTTGTCTAAACTGGTGCAGTCGGTGTGAGCCCACTTAAAACACTTTGAGCACTGAATCTATTGTTCGCTCGAGAGAAGACTCCAGTACAAAACATACATTCTGCTTCCTCTTTCCCAATGTCACACTCCATGTCAGAATCATCATCTAAAATGAATTCTTCATCTTCTTCAGAATAACTAAAAGCTTCCTCTTTCTTAGCACTTTTCTTTTTAACCTTGGTTGTCATTGCCTTCTTTTTATAGCAATAGATTTTCCTTTATTTTCATTTGTTTTCTTAAAAGGCTCACATTTGTCTATTTTTAATTTCGGAATTCCCTTTCGGAATACTTTTATTTCCCTTCTGTTCTGACAAACTACTTTCTAAGACATCTTTGTATGGTGTACCATTAAAATAACCACATGATTTTGGCGCGCCAAATTTATCGAGTTAATGTTCCGCGTGTGGGAGAAGTGACCATCCAATATTAATACAACTGAATCAGCTTCACTTGGTGTAATGTGGCTAATAAAATGTAACCAATTGGTGAAAATGTGACTCTGAATCAAGCCAGACACGTGTCAGGCAGCTATTGTCCCTGGTGGAGCCCCGTTGAGCAATTCTGCCTTCATATTTTTTTAGGGAAATATGACCATAGGGGCACAAAACCACCAGCCGCATTCATACAGGTAACCACAGTCACTAGTCATCCTCTTTCTGCGATCTCTACCTGCTTTTTACCTATTAAGGTGATTATTTTCGTATGCTTTGATTGTACAGACGTTATACCTGTCTCGTCTACATTATAGATTCGACAGGGATTAAATTTCACCTTCTCAAGATTTAAAAAAAAATATTTTTTTCTTCTGTGAATCCTCTAATTCTGGCAGTTGATAAACCCAGTGGTCTCCTAAAAGTTCAGGATGCCTATTTAAAAATGAACTCAACCATTTGTAACCTTTGATTAGTTGAGAACAGATGCTTTAAATTGTTCCGAATACCAGAAGATCGCAGTCCGTAAAACCTTCTATCCATTTCTAGGCAATAATCGACCAAATCTGCTTCAATTTCTTTGGAAAACACTGGTGGACGTCCCATATTGGTTTGAATAAGTTTTTTAGGTGACTTTATTTTATTTTTTACGTAGTCATCCAACATGCTCTTGGGTACCTACCTACTTTAAAAGTTTTTGAAGCTCGCATGTACCCCATTTCTTTGTTTTTAACTGCAGTAACAGCTGCATGCATGGATTTACTATCCCATTTCTTTCGTTTTTGTTTGGATTTAGATGACATTTTATTTCTGAAATTTAAAAAAAAAAGCGTAAGAAATGAGATAAAATAAGTAGACATAATGCCAAAACTATAGCATAACTCTTTCTTTTTATCGACGAAACCCTTTAAATGTAGTTGTTAACATGACCTTAACTACGTAGAAATTATAGTAGATATTCTATATAAAAACAATTAAGAAATATTTTGTCCTAATATCGGGTATCTGATATTAAGACAGTGCGACCATCTGATATTAGGCAAATTATCACCTATTGTGAAGGTTCTGTTTATGGATTAAAAAAAAATTAGTAATCCACTGTCCACATGCACTTAATTAAAGTAGACATTATAGACTAACTTAAGCTACATAGTCAAATTTAACAACTTACCTGAATGTGTAAAAATTGCGGTTACGACTAGCACATGTAGTCTAGTGCCCTCTATGTTTTACTACTAGAGACGATAAAATATTATTCGGCGACCTGGGTTTAGCTCCATGCTAAACTGGACATAGGTTTCTTCCTAATCAGATTACAGGTTTCTTTAAAATAGAACTATCCGATAATAGACAACTATCCGATATTATGACACTTTTACTTTCGATAAGTGGTTAACGAGTTATTCCCTCATGATCAATCTATTTCAGACTCATCATCTTACATCGGTTTTGACAGTTAAAAAGAACAAAAGACAAATTCCAACAGCACTTTTGAACACACGAGGAAGAGAAATACGCAGTTCAAAATTTGCCTTTAAAGAAGATATAAGCGCTGTCTCATATGAGCCAAAAAAAGTCAAAAAATGTAATCCTCTTTTCTACATTGCATCATATTAATACTATAAGTGAAGAAACTGGTTATTCTAGTTATTCCCTCATGATCAATCTACTTCAGACTCACCATCTTACATCGGTTAGGACAATTAAAAAGAACAAAAGACAAATTCCAACAGCACTTTTGAACACACGAGGAAGAGAAATACGCAGTTCAAAATTTGCAAGGGCTGTCTCATATGAGCCAAAAAAAGTGAAAAAATTTAATCCTCTTTTCTACATTACATCATATTCATACTATAAGTGAAGAAACTGGTAAAAAGAAATTACGTAAAATGTCGACTTTTACAATTCAACCAAAGGCGGTGTAGACACATTAAATTGGCTATCTGCTAATTACAGCGTATCAAGAAATAGTCGTCGTTGGACTTTGACACTCTTTTTTTCGTTTTTGAATACAACTGGAGTGATTGCTCAAGTTATATATGAAACAAATACAAAAAAAAAAACGATAAATTAATAGGGCGAATTTTTTTGAAAAAACTGGGTGTGCAGCTGATTTCTGAGTTTCGAAACCAACGAAGACAAAACCCTTCCTTGCGTCGACCACTACGTGATAATCAGCATCAGCAACCAGAGGTACATCAGTTGCAACCTAAGCGACGTAGGACAAGCAGTAGATGTTCTGTTTGTCCAAGAAATAAAGATAGGAAGACTTTTTACATATGAATGCGATGTGATACTTTAATTTGTTTGGAACACGCAATAATGACGTGTTCAAACTGCGACAATTTTGAGGAGTCGTAACTTTTTTATTTTTCAATGTATTTTGGCGAACACTTTTTTCTTTAGTTTGTAGAATCTTAGGCTATACGTTTAGTTAGAGGTGTATGATTAATAAAATTTTTCATAATATCTGAGTGTATTATTGTTCACTCGTGTTTTTTGACTGGCATAATTGCAATATGTTTGATAAATGATGTTTACCATTTAAATATAAGACTTTTACAGTACTATTTTTAATTTATTTAAATTACAAATAAGTAAAAAACAAAGATTAACCATTTTAAATGATTAAATTTAAACATTTTAACTTCATGCGTTAGTTTAGTTTATTGAAACGCTCAATACTCCGGGAGTATTGGGTTTTTGGAAGTGTAAGACTTCATAATTCCAGAAGAACTGGAAGAGAGGTAGAAAATACTAAAAATAGGGCTAAGCTCAGAGGAACAAATTTAAATGGCCAAAGAGACACTAAATCTCAAGTGAGTGTTCGGGCTAGCTTCAATGCACTGGATTGTGGCTTTAAAGATATAAACAACAATAACAAGAGATAATGAGCTAATGAGACAAGAAAGAAATGAGACCTGGTAATATCAAATGTGATACAACTGAAGAAGGTCACTGGGAATAAATTTATAGAAAGAGAACAATAAGAAGAGAAATGAAGGGCGCCAACTCAACGATAGTTGAGATTTTGAAGTAACAAATGAATCTGGAGATAATACTCTGAAATACAAAAATACTAAATAATAATCTTGTTTTGCTATGTTATATACTGGTTAGTAGAACTGAAATAAAACTCAAAATAGCAACAATAAATATATTTTTATAAAAATGTATATAGGTATATGTGTATAAACAATTTACATATAATGCAAAGCTAAATAACAGTGGTAGTGGATGGTGTAAATATACAATAGGACCTAATAGCCCCTCAACAAGCGAAAAGTCACTACCACTGGCCAAATAAAGTTTAAAATATTAGTAACAATTCAAGGATAGTCCGTAGGGTAGCCAAAGTCTTAAAACAAAAAGGTAGTCATTTAAATTTAAATTAGTTCTACTAAAATGAGGTACTAATGACAATATTGTAAAGATATCAAACTTGATAAATCTCTATTACAATTATATTAAATATATATTACATCCAAAAAGTGAGTCTTCAATACTCCTTATACAATGTTTTAAAAACCACATGAAATTTATTTCCCTTTTCCCAATATCAAAATTGTACCTATTTTATCAAATATATTGTATTAAAAAAAAATATAGCAAAAGTGAGTTTGGTCAGTACTCTTAAAATCCTATTTAAAAAAAACTAATAAAAACAGGTAATATATTTTCCCTCTCCCAATAATATCAAAATTATATTTTATCAAAATGTAGTTACTTGATCATATGCATATGAAAAGTTAACAGTAAATAGAAAGTAATACGTAATACAAAAGGTCAAATAGTTAAACAACTTATCTTTACAGCACTATAAGTCCATAGGAAAATTCCTCTTGGCACGGCTAAATCAGTTTATGGCTGTAAAGACGAATCCTGGGCACAAAGCCACAACCAGTCACTGGTCTCTGGGTGATAGCAAAATCCACGGGTTTGCTAACTATTCAAGAAATTTAGTTACTTGAGTCCTTGAGGGAATATTCTGAAGAGAATATCCTCAAGTAAAGTGACGGAATCTAAAATTATTATTTAATTTAATAAATACAATTCAATAGGTGTAGCAGCATGGATTGAGTGCACCAAAACAAAACATCAAAACATCAGGTATTAGGTTAAGTCAACATCATGTCAAATTTATGAAGTTACTTTCGTAGGCATGGCAAGCTTGCGCCATGAAATAAACATGCGCAGAATACAGAAGGCTGTCCCACATTTGTAGAACCTTTTTATATTCCACCAAAAAAAAATTAGATAAAAGGGAACCAAAAAAAAAACTTAATGATAAGATATGAAATAGATCGGAATTTAAGTTTGACTATATAAAAAAAATGACCTTCTGTTCTTTGCAAGTAAATCAAGGAAATTTTATATTTAAATTATTTCGGAACTCAAAAATAAATCTCTAAAGAAATACTAAATACAATGATAAATTTGATTATATGATAAGGAGATAATACGTATGAAATGATTTACTTACATGGAGCTGCAGCACGCCAAAAAAATCTTCCTCTTATGTGGAACTCTTTAGATTATTGTTTATTTAAAAAAAATAATTATTATTATAAATATTTCTATTTTATTCTTCCCCAAATTATCTTCCTTGCTCCAATTCTGTCACTTTGAAGGTGAAACATTTCACCGGTCGACGTGGCTGCGTTGAGTTCTGACCAAAAACTGAAACTTCGCTTCCGCATAAAATCGATCTTCCTTTCAAAGCGATAACAGCGCGTGAGTGGGGAAATGTCGATTTAAAATCGATCGTAGGCGGGTAATAAAAATTTCTTAAGGGGTTAATCAGTAGCGTAAACGCTACACTATGACATACCACGGAACACCTCTCGTGCTAATTTATCTAGGCACTCTAACGCAGGGTTAAAATGCTTTAAAAGCTCGTTATTTGTCTAACATTTTATTTATTGATTTCGTACAAAACTGTTGTAGTATTGAGATAGAAATTAGATAATATCTTATTAAGCAAAATCTACCTTATGCCTAAGTGTACTTGTTGTAGATTGAAACCTTTATATAGAAAATAATCTCAATAAGAATCGATAGAAAAATATATTCTAATCAAAAAAGTTTCACAAAGTTTTTTTTGAAAAATCGATACATTTAGACCTATTCGTGTGGATAAATTTCAGTAAGAAATGTATCCAAGCGTTGCTACGCCACTGGCATTAAATAGCTAATAATTCTTAAAACCTACCTAGGTAAATTCTCCGACTAATTCCCTGTTAGAAAGCGAGAACCAGTTCCCCTCAAACCCCTCAGTGGTAGTTAGGCATGGCAATCGAGCAGTATCGTTGTAATATTCAAAGTGTCACGTTGTATACCAGCCAAGCTGGACGCTTTACTTACAAATTTACTTTAAGACCCAGTGGGTCGATTCTTTGTTAGATTGAGTTCTGTATAACTCCGCTTAGTAATAATTGTAGCATATTACTTGGTTAGCACGGCAGAAATATCCTTGGTTCAGAATAATAAGTAGTATTAGTATAATTTAAATTGTATCAGTGTCCGTGTAGTGTTTATCGGACTAGTGTGGCTTGAACAGTGACGGGCGGTTTACATAAAAGAACTTTACATGACAAACCCTTGGCTAGATATCAACTTAGTGTAGTAAAAAATCAATCATTAAATTAAGTATTGTTAACGCTTGTGGTTTTATTTCCCATGTAAAGTGGGTGGTCCTTCAACGTTGGAAATCATTACGATTTAAGATGCTCTAAATGGTAAGAAGATCTACTTCCTAATTGGTTTCATTTTTGTTGGTCGTCTGCGACTGGATGAGGAACCATGTAAACCATAGTATCTGCTATTATCTTCTACCATCGTGATAGAACATTCCATAATTTCTTATGATTAATCGATTTTTCACGAATAACCCAAACACTTTACATTTTATCGAAAAAACCGTTAATGGGTAAAATGTAGCTTATAAAAAATGGAAGTGATTTTTTAAAATTTTTTCTGAAAGCCTACTACAAAATATTTAGTAGTAGTAGTATTTAGTATCAAAACTTACCCCCAACATGTATGGCTAACATGTAGTCTTCTCCATCTACATCCAAATAAATATCAGCTTTTCCTTCTTCGTCCACAACAACCACTTTGCCTGTGCATTCACCACCAATTAAATCGCCAGAAATTACATCACAGTATGTACCAGGTGGTAAAGAAGTTTGTAGGATTGCATTAATATCCCCTTCTAAAAAAATTCAAATGCTGTATCTAGTGGTCAATAAAAAGTAATACTGAGTGTGCTTTATAATCATTGCTGTCGCTGTCTTAATAAGACCAATTGTAAATATTTTCATAAATATAGATATTACTAGATGTCACCGTAAATCGCTTTTTAAGTCAAGGCCTTCTACACAGTCAGTTGTATCAAATAGAATCGCGAATTTTACTATAGAAACGTATTTGCTACAGTGTCGAAGTTCGGTTATAAATTTTAGGTAAGTTATAAAGTCACTATAAAGTTCCTTAAATAATATGTACCAATTGTGTGTTTCTTTATAAAGCTATAGCAAATTAATACTCATTTAAGAACCGGTACTGTTTTTCACTATATTGCTTGTTATTACTGTTCTTTGATGTTAAAGAAAGAAGTAGGTACTGCCTTAATAAGTCGAAATGACTAGCCTTATTAGGAGTCAACTGGTTTTATTAAGAGTTGATTGGCATTATAAACAATTTGTTTACATAGTCGTTTAAAATATTTTATCTTTGCAGGTATGTCTCCGAGGAAAAGGGTACAGTGGTCAGAAGAGGTTATTTAAGCTGCGATAAATACCGTACGAAATAGCATGGTTGTTCATAAAGCAACTCTTACATTTAATATTCCTCGGCGTACGTTACGTAACCACCTAGTTAGTGGCAGTTCACAAAAACGACTTTGGCGGTCTCCAGTACGCACAAAACCTGAGGAAAATGAATTGGTTAGGAGTATAACACTTAATTTCGTGTTGTATAACTGAATTATACTAACACACGATTGAAACGAATAAAAATAACAAACGAATTGCATCCAGAACAAGGTGTCAGACAAAGATGTATACTGTCTCCACAATTATTTAATATATATTCTTCTTCTTCTTCAGGTGCCATCTCCGCTACGGAGGTTGGCAATCATCATAGCTATCTTAATTTTTGAGGCAGTAGCTCTAAATAGTTGTTTTGAGCTGCATCCAAACCATTCTCTCAGGTTCTTCAGCCATGAAATTCGTCTTCTTCCGATGCTTCTTCTGCCATCTATTTTTCCTTGCATTATGAGTCGCAGGATGCCATACTTATCGCCCCGCATCACATGTCCGAGATACTGTAGCTTTCTTTCTTTAATTGTAAGTTCAATTTCCTTCTCTTTGCCTATTTTTCTCAGTATTTCATTGTTTGTAACTCTATCTACCCAGGAAACCCTCATCATTCTTCTATAGGTCCACATTTCAAAGGCGTTAAGTCGTATCATGGTATCTAGATTTAACGTCCATGATTCCACTCCATAATATAGTACACTGTATACGTAACATTTTGTTAGGCGTACTTTAACAGCTAATGTTAGATCTTTGCCACATAGGACCTTTTTCATTTTTATAAAATTAGAACGTGCTTTTTCGATTCTGACTTTGATTTCTGCCGTGTAGTCATTATTTTCTGTTATAAGTGTTCCTAGGTAAGTGTACTTTTTTACTCTTTCGATCTGCTGGCCCTCTACTATCAAGATTTCGTTAGTATTATAGTTGTTTTTACAGATTTTCATAAACTTCGTCTTTTTGACATTAAGAGAGAGTCCGTACTCCCTACTACACATGACTATTTTGCTCATGAGTCTTTCCAGGTCTTGTAAACTATCGGCTATTATTACTGTATCATCTGCATATCTGATGTTGTTAATTAAGACTCCATTTACTCTTATGCCGACTGTTTCATCTTCCACAGTTTCTCGAATTACCTCTTCAGAATAGGCGTTAAATAATAGAGGTGATAGAATGTAGCCTTGCCTGACTCCTCTCTTTATTTCCATTTCTTCAGATGTTTCTTTTTCGATTCTTACTATTGCTCGCTGATTGTAATAGAGGTGTGTTATTAGCCTTAAATCTCTTTCATCTATGTTTTTATTTTTTAGAATTTCCAGGAGTCGATCATGTTTTACTTTATCAAACGCTTTATTCTAGTCTATAAAACAGACGTAAAGAGGACGGTTAACATCCAAACATCTCTGTGTCAGCACATTTAAGGAGAATAATGCCTCTCTGGTACCCATACCATTGCGGAACCCATATTGAGTGTCACTAATATCCAGCTCCAGTTTAGAGTGTATTCTGGCGTGGATAATTTTCAAGAGAATTTTCAAGGTATGTGACATTAAGCTTATGGTTCGATAGTCACTACACTCTTTGGCATTCACTTTCTTTGGCAAACACACAAATGCTGATGTCAACATTTCTCTAGGAATGATTCCCGTAGTATAGATAGCGTTGAACAGTTCTACTATTATGTCCAGGTTTTTCTCGTTGACCAACTTTAGTAGCTCGCTTGGTAATTCATCTGGACCAGCAGATTTATTGGTTTTCATTGAGTTTAATGCCTGACTAACCTCTGATTTGGTTATCTCTGGACCTACATCTCCCGTTTGGCTATCTACAGATGTACTAGCTTCTCTCTGGTCATGAAATAATTCTTCGATGTACTCTTTCCATCGTCGTAGTTTTTGTTCTGTTTCCAATATAATATTTCCATTTTTGTCGAGCAATATATTTGAGGTTCTTCTATTTCCTACTCCGGCTAGTTCTTTGACTTTTTTATGTAGGTTGAAGTTGTCATATCTGTTTTGAAGTTCTTCTATTTCTTTACATTTTTCAGAGAAGTAGGTCTCTTTAGCCTCCCTAATTTTTCTTCTTATTTGGTTTTGAAGCTGTTTATAGCGCGTCTTATTGATGGTTTTGTTTTTTCTCCTTTCATTCATCAACTCTAGAATTTCCTCTGTCATCCATTCTTCTTTCTTATATTTAGTTGTTGTAAGTAGTTTCTTACTTGGTTCCAATATAGAGGTTTTGAAGAATTGCCACTGCTGCTCTATGTTGCAGTTATTTCCTGGGTTTCTGTCTAGATTTGTGTTGATTTCGTGTTTCAGATTTTCTTTTGTTTCTTCTGACTTTAGTTTCTGTATGTTAAGTTTATTGTTATTGCGGCTTTTTTGTGTCTTTTTTAGTTGAAGTTGAAATCTAGCAATAAGAAGACTATGATCAGAAGATACGTCCGCTCCTGGATATGCCTTTACTGCCTGGATTGAGTTTCGATATCTGTGTTTTATTAGGAAGTAATCAATTTGATTTTTGACGATTTTGTTGTCTTTGTCAGCTGGCGATTTCCATGTATAATGGCGTCGCTTAGGTAATTTAAAGAATGTATTTGCGGCTATAACATTGTGCTCCTGGCAAAATTTTATTAGGCGATCCCCTCTGTCGTTTCGTTCACCAAGCCCATATGGTCCTACATTAGGGTAGCATTTTCCCTCGCCAATTTTTGCGTTGAAATCACCCATGATCACTGTTACGTCTCTAGATGCTGTGAGATGTAATGTTTTTTGAAGTTCGCTATAAAAGTTTTCTATTTCTTCTTCATTTTTGTCAGCAGTTGGTGCATAAATCTGAATTAAATTCATTTTTCCATGGGTTGTCAATAATTGCACCATTATAATTCTTTCAGATATCGGAACGAAGCCTGTTACTGATCTCGTTAGTTTTTCAGTGAGGATCATAGCAACTCCATATCTGTGTTGGGTGTCGCTGCTTCCAGAGTAATAAATTCGTCCATTGTCTGTATTGATTTCACCAGAGCCGACCCATCTTGTATCGCTTATTCCTAATATATCGATCTCTAGTCGCATCATCTCTTGCTGTATATTTCTTAGTTTCCCAGGTTCATACATACTTCTTACATTCCATGTAGCTATTTTGTAAGTGGATTTGTATATATTTAGTGAACAGGGATTTCGCTAACGGCCTGGGAAGCCCTGTCGTTACTGCTGTTTCTTCCCCTGCCGAATCTTGGCATCCGAGAACCATGATTATTATATTAGGAGCATATTATAAGAAGAGCGCTTAAAATATGGGAAAAGGGCATCTCAATAAACGGCCAAACAATAAACAATATACGTTTTGCAGACGACACACCACTTCCTTCATATAAACAAGAAGAGTTAATTGATCTCATACCACTACATAGCAATGATCCACATATTGCTTAATTGAACTGCTTAATATTTCCAATACTGACACACGGATGTGAATTTTGGATCCTATGAAAAGAAAAAAAGACGCCACTAAAATGTTCTGTTAGAGAAGAATGTTACGAATTACTTGAACCTACCACAGGACAAATATTTCAATTTTAAATGAGCTTAAAGTCAGCAAATGGCTATCCATCAAATTCTATCTCCAACAATTAAAATACTTTGAACATGTTATGACACTGAAGATCACGAGCAAGATCTTAAACAAGATGGATCCATAAAATTAGAGGAATATACAAAAGACCTATGCTTAGACACGTAACATAACACATGCCGGCAAATGCCCAGCGTTTACCACATGGTAACATAAACATTTAAACGATATTTTCTAAATTTTGGCATTTACATTTTTGTTTCAAATTTTATAAAAAGTTCAACTATCGTCTAACATTTTATATAAAAAAGAATCCACAAAATACAGAATACGTGTAAATGCTAAAGAGATCCTAATATCATTCATGCTTACGGAAGCACAAAATTACGAAATAATTTTTACAATATGTATGTAAATGGAAACAAGAAAGAGACATATGATAAGATCATTATTTTTAAGCAGTGCAGCTACCTTTTACTTAGGACTTAAGGAAATAAAACCTTAAATACGAACCTACCTGTAGTCATTGCTATGAATCCTTGATTTTCTCGTCCAAAAGCTATCTGGTTCTGTCCATTGTCCCACCAATTGGTAATTCTTGTACCTAAGCATACATTTCTGAACCTAACCATATTGTAGATCTGATGCCACCGATGTTCACATACCCATCCATTGTTGCATGATCCATCTGGATTGTATCCTGGAGATTAGAATTACATCTTGTTGTACTAGAAATTAACAAAATTTTCTAATAATGATATATTTAAAAAATATCATAAAAAAAGATAACGTGAAAAAATACACTTCTATTAATTAAAAGCTTGTTACTAGAAGCACGTTTTGGCATCCGCAAACTATTCCCAAAAATATGTTTTTGAGTAGATAAGTGTTATAGTTAGGATTATTTAAATTACGAAAGAAATCAGAAGATTTCTATTGACGAAAAGAGAATCGAAATTTTTGCTTTAATCTATGTCTTTTAAGAATTGCAAGCCAAACAGACGATGCTAAAGATGCAAAGAGAGAAAATGGAGCATATCAAATAATATGCTATTTTAGTAAAATTTTTAGAAGGGATGGTCTTTAAAAAAAGAAAGTTACCATACAGGGTAAAGTAGAAGACAAAAGAGGTAGAGGCATAACAAAGGATAGAAAAAAGAGGAACTTCAGAAAGACCAACTAAAGAAGCCATGGTCACGATACCAGTAACAGATTGAATACTAAATAGGAAAAAAAGTTTGTACTGTGGTTAAACATAGTAGAAAAAATATTAATAAACAACTTACCTGGTGAAATAATGTCGTCATTTTCATCTGCAGGAGGCCCTTGATCGTGATCCTCAAATAAAAAACTAGACATCAACCTAGGGGTAAAAAACGGATGTGCCAACATAAAAGAATTTGCAGCTCTATACAATTTGGGCTTTTTGAAGGAAAGAATTCTAGTGTCTTCAAGCCTCTGGTTGTCATGATTGTCTATGAAAACAACACCATCTTGCGCTTTTACCAAGTACCAAGGCGGCGACCCCCAATCTTTAAGAATGTGAAGTGGTTGATTGCCTTGGATAATGTTTCCTAGCTGAACTCCAAAATTGAATTCCAGGACATCTCCGATATCTACGTACTCGAATTTAGAAACAGCTTCACCTCCTAAAATATATTGCACTGGTTAATAAAATTGTTTTATATATTTAAAAAATCTAAGAAAAATTTATAAGTCAGTAGTTTTACTGACAAGTGTTAGTTGTATCTGATAATGTGGCAGACTTGTGTCCTTACTGACTACCTGACTTATCCAATGCGTCTAAATGGGCACTTTAATACCTAAGTGATGAAACTTCGCCCCATTATTTTAGAGTTAATAATATTATTACTAAACTCAACACCTAAGAAAAAAATTTGAGCATAATTAAAAAAAATACTAAAAATTTTATAGCTTTCAGAATATCAAATAAAATATGTTGCTTTAACTCAATATAACATAATAAAATATGTGTTTTTTGTGTAATCCTGTATACACAGTCTTTTTAGGATTTTTTTCAATAAAATATTTTAATATACACTCGTGGACAAAAATATCGAATATTTCTTTTTTGAAAATAAATTCTAGTCGATCAAGTCGTTCATTATGAAGAAGAGTTTATTTAATAATGTTTAATGAACAGGTTTTTATGCTGAATTTAAGATAAATAAGGTTATTTTACTCTAAACTTAAATGCCTATTTAAATTGCCCAAACAAGTTTTCCTTTTCATTCTTTTCAGTATGCTTGCAAATCAATTTTGGACATATCCTTAAGAAATTGCATTCCGTTCATAATGTACAGCACGCCAAAGCTGTTCTGTCGTATTTGGAGCGGGATTTCTTTGTTGTATGCGAGGTTTAACTGATCTCCTATGTGTTCTATTGGCTTTAAATCTGGGCTAAATGGTGGCCAATCCAATCTTCGAATTTGAATCTCAAGATAATTACTTACTATGGCAGGTGTTTGTTCTTTTAGATTGTGTCATTAAGAGATCCCGCCGCTTTACTTGCTTGTAAGCTTTGTTGTCGTATCTCTTCTTCAACATCTCCGTAACTATTTATTCCCAGATATTTAAACCTTGCTTCCTGCTTTATTATTTTCTCATCAATTTTGATTTTACATCTTAGTGGGATTTAAATGTCATATATTTAATTTTTATGCTGATAATATCATGTTTTATTTTTTTGCTGTAGTATTAAGGATATGTTGTATCTTTGGAGCTCGTCTTATGTCTCGGCGATTAATGCGGCATCGTCTGAATAACATAATATTCGGAGTTTTTTGTTCCCCATTCTGTAACCATGACCTTTTCGTACTGCTTGTATTATTTCGTAAATTATTAAATTAAAGAGAAGTGGGTTTAACGACTCACCCTGTCTGACTTCGCTTTATACTTGTATACACTATGTTAGTTTTCCATTTATCTTTTCCTGTATTCGATTATGTAAGTAGATGTTTTCGATGGTTTGTATAATATTCTTCTTCAGCCTGTATTCGTCCACTGCTGGACATAGGCCTCTTCCATTTGCTTCCATCGATTTCTACTTTTGGCAATTCTCATCCACTGCTTACCCGATACTTGTTTGATATCGTCTGTCCACCTCTTCTGCGGTCTGCCTACTCCTCGCCTGTTCTCTCTTGGTCTCCAGTTTGTTAATCTTTGTGTCCATTTTTCGGGATTATCTCGGGCAACGTGTCCAACCCATTGCCACTTGAGCCTTGCAATACGTTCTGAGACATCAGTAATTTTGTTCTTTCACGAATGACGTTATTTCGAATCCTGTCTCTCAAACTAATCCCTAGCATGGCCCTCTCCATTGCTCTTTGGGATGTACTGAGCTGCTCTAAGGTTTTCTTTGTGAAGGACATGGTCTCCAGTCCATATGTAGTTACAGTCAAGATACATTTTTCATACTCTCTACGTTTTAGACACATTGGTATATCTTTATTCTTCAAAATAAAGCTTAATTTGCCGAAAGCTCCCCAAGACAGTTGTATGCGTCTTTTTATTTCGGCTATTTGATTTTCTTTGTCGATTTTAATGGTATGTCCAAAATATATATAGTGGTCTACATTTTCAAGACTGACGTTGTCAATAACAAGATTAGTTTGTAAATTACTCATTATTTTTGTTTTCTGAAGGTTCATTTTGAGACCTATTTTATTTGACTGCTGGTTTAATTCCTTTAACATTTGCTCTAGTTCCTTGATATCTGTACTAAATAATACTATGTCATCCGCAAACCTCAAATGACTCAAACGTACACCATCAATGTTTAGACCTTTTTCCTTCCAGTCAAGCTGTTTGAATACATTTTCCAATGCTAAGGTAAAAAGCTTTGGTGAAATAGTATCACCTTGTCTAATACCTTTATCAAGGCGCATTTTTTCAGTTTTTTTGTCTTCTTTGATTTTGATGTGGAATGTGGCCTGTTCATAAATGTTTTTAATGAGTGTTGTGTACCGTGAGTCTATTCGAGCATCCTTCAGGGCTGACAAAAAGGACCAAGTCTCAATACTATCGAGAGCCTTGTGAAAGTCGATAATTGCCATATGTAAAGGTACATTATATTCTGTGGTTTTTTCTACTAGTGTTCTGTTGTAAGTGATCATTAGTACCAAACCCTTTTCTAAATACCGCATGTTCAACCGGTTGATATAAATCAAGTTTTTGTGTTATTCGGTTGGTTATTATTCTTGTTAACAATTTGTATAAGTGTGACAACAAACTTATAGGTCTGTAGTTTTCAATATTAGTAGTGCCTCCTTTCTTGTGTAAAAGTATTATTTCGGCGTTTTCCCATAGGCTGGGTATTCTTTTTTCTGTTAGACACTTATTCAGTAAGACTTCCACAACTTCTACAACGATGTTGCCGCCCATTTTTAACATTTCAGACATTATACGATCCTCGCCAGGAGCTTTTTTGTTTTTCATTTGCTGTCAAAAACTCAAATAATCAAGGAAATACAAACGTTCTATAAGAATCTTTATACATCTACTATACAGAACCCCGAAACAGACCACAGAACAATTCTAAACGTCGGCTCGGAAACCCTCCCTAAAATAACCTCTTCGGAAATTAGACATGCTTACAGCAAATGTATAATATTGATTGGTATGTTTCTCTTATACAGTAGGTGTAAGACGTCTTCTACTTGGATGCGATCGAAAGCCTTTGTTAAGTCTATAAAATACCGATATGCTGGTTTATTGAACTCAATGGCCTTTTCTGTGATTTGTCTTGGTACAAATACGGCGTCTACGCAGGATCTTCCAGATCTGAATCCTTGTTGTTTATCAGATAAAGTTGTTAGTTTATTGATATTGTTGGTTAGGACTTTTCTGGTAAGCTTACGTGCGGTCTTCAGTAAATTTATACCTCTATAATTTTTGGGGTCTTCTTTATCTCCTTTCTTGAACATTGGTATCATTATTCTGTTTCTCCATGTGTCTGGTATCTTGCAGTGCAATATTAGTTTTTGTATAAGATTTATCATCTCTAGGGTTATACTTTCTCATTCGTGTTTTAAAAGCTCGTTGGTTATTCCATGTGGTCCTGGTGATTTTATATTTTTTAGTGAATTCAGTGAAATAGATCGTATTCAGTTTAAAACTTTGAGATTAACCCTGGTAATCAACACCATGTCCTCTGTTACTTACTGAAAGTAATGAAATGTCATTAGAAAATCACAGAAATTTACTGGCAACCAAATAAGTATGCCTTGAAAATATATAATCAGATTTACTTAAAATAATTAACAAGTTGCTGAACTGAGTCTCCATCGTACATCCCTTTCAATAACAAATTATTTAAAATTAAACTACCTTTACATTGCTTTATTTACGCTGCGCAGAAGAAGTAGCTATTAGGCAAACTCTGGATTGGCTAGAGCACGAAAGTTTGCAAGATGCTATGGTATTATTAGACTCTAAGTCAGATTTTAGCGGACTTAATAATACTGAGGTAAACCATTAGACATGTGAGCTGATATGTGATATTAAACAAAAAGTATTAATCAAATTTTATAATCTAAAAATAAATTTTAACTGACAAATGGAAAATATTGGTGAATACATCAAATAATCATTATTACAAGATTCATCCTCCGTTACCAACCCAAACAGATTGACCACACATATTCCATTACAACATATCCAAGCGATCAGCAGCAAATACCCCAGGATCAAAAACTAGTTCCTGCCCTGCTCACCTAGCTAGGTTAATTATTATAGAAAAAAATTTAATAGTATGAGATTAATCACATACTGTCACTCAATCAGAAATAAACAAAAGAACTTGTACGTTGTTATCACTTATATGCATCCGGAGATATAATGAGAGTGGCAAGTGGACTAGTTTCAGTGCCAAACATACTATCATCATGATCATCATCATCATTATAAAGGTATTCTCTCACCACGACCTTTGTTTTCTTTAATTTTTCCCTCTTTCAACAACCTCAAGAGTTTATTATATCTTTCCCGGCACACATGTCCTAGATAACTGGTTATAGAGTGAAAAATAGAGCAAATAATCATCAACAGTTTATTACAAAGTGGGCGGCTTCTTCGGTTACGAAAAGCTGGACACAGGAAATAACTGGAAAGTGAATAACAATCTAAAGTCTGAGACAAGATACTCTCATACTGTCTGATAGACATTCTATCAGACACTGTGAATATAAAAAGCCAGTGGAACCAAACGAATCCATAAAATGACAGAACGCCAAGATCGTCGTAAAAGATTCTTGGTCTTTTAAAGAGATCACTTTGCTAAAGTTATGAAAAGTTTTACTATTTGCTTTTACCCACCGTACTAGATTTACCTTTAGCAATAGGTGATTAAAGACTACTTTAGTTTTCATCAGAAGTCACATGACCCAAAATCGTTACATTTAATGAAGGAGTATTGTACTTGCACTGAAGGGAAATAATGATAAAACATTAATTCAATCTGGTTATTTGAATCATTGATCTGATGATTTAAAACGTTATGTCCCATACGTGAATATAAGTAAGAAATGTAGTGGATAACTAACAGAAAAAAATATAGAAATAAATAACTAAATTATACAAAAACAACATGAATCTAAAAATAAAAAAAACTTACATTTGTTTCTTTCATATTTTATTTAAAATCTCACCTAAATCAGGAACTTCTTGATAAATATATGGTCGTGTTCCTTCGGCAAATCCGTGTTGAGTACTTAAATTTTTGGCGTTATCGTAGATATATTTAAGATCTGAAGGCCACATGTGTTTTGCTGCATCCACTCTTATTCCTGCTACTCCTAACTCCAATAGCCTGTCTATATATTGTAAAAGTTTTTTTCGGACGCTATAAAGACTCTAAAAATCAACGACAAAATTAGACATTGTCTTTTCTGTTCTATAATAATATAGGCAAACAAGCACACTTATATTTTATAATTTGAATTTTACAATGAATTTTATAATGAATTTCACAAAGCTCTAGGCAGTAGTAAAGCGATATTTTAGGCAGTTATTATGATTGTTTAATATTTCAATTTTCGATAACCGAATGCCAGAAATATGGTTTTCACCAATATAAACAGTCCCAAAAATTAGACAGCTGTCAAATTGTGCACGCAACACGTTTTTATTTGATTGGTCTTATGTATCGTTAACTCTCATATAAATAGTGCTCTATTATTAAAACCATCGTGAAAATAATTTTCATAACTGCCTATAGTAGATCCGTATTGTCGCTTATCTGGAAATGGACAGAATATTTGTTTAAGTTTAAAATAAGCGTCTGAAAAATGTCGATATGTTTAACAAGGAGCTCCCAGTAAAAGTGTAATGATAGCAATTGTTGAGAAATTTGACAATAAGATGTAAAAATTTGACAATAAATTAGCAATCAATTTTTTGCGGTTCCCTTTTTGGTCGAAATCTAGGTTTTTCGTAGGTGTGTTTTGAGCTAGGGGATGATGAGGTAGTTTTTAGGGATTGGTTAATATACCAATTAACAGCAATTAACTATCAATAAAATATGCCGTCAAGATGATCCCTGTACCCCTTTTCCCTGTCGAGACATAGTTATGGCTATGCTAGCTTTACCGTAAAGCTAGCATACCCACTTTTTCTTCGAAACGAATACAGCAATATATTTTTTCTAGTAAACTTAATTTGGGCCTGGGGTTTCTAATAAAGCCCCAGGCCCAGATGGCATACAGGCGGAACTACTAAAAAAAGGGGGAGAAAAGCTCCACCTTGAGATATATCATCTTATAAGAGAAGTCTGGGAAAGAGAAGAAATACCGAAACACTGGCATGAAAGCCATATAGTACTTATCCACAAGAAGTGAGACAAAAAAATATGTCGGAACTATAGAGAAATATCGTTAATTAATACAACGTACAAAATTATATCCATAATACTGTCTAGAAGACTAACTCCTTCCGCAGAGGAAATAATAGGCGACTACCAAAGCTGATTCAGACCGGGAAGGTCGACCATAGTCCAGATATTCGTCTTACGCCAGGTGTTTGAAAAAAATTTGGAATTCAACCGCGATGTACACCAAATCGAAAATCGGAAAACGAGGCATCGGAAGAAAGAAATACTCATGGCTTAAAAACATAAGGGATTGAACAAACCTCGATGCCCAAGCACTTTTTAGAGCCACACAAGATCGAGAGGAGTATGCCAGAATTGTCGCCAACATCCACTACTTGGATAGGGCACCATAAGAAGAAGTACACCAAATCTTCGTGGACTTTAAACAAGCTTACGATTCTGTTAGCATTGTGGGAGACCATGATAGAAATGAGAGTGCCTAAAAAGCTGGTACGATTAGCGCAGCAAGGATCACAAATACTATTTTCGTTTGCGGATGACGTGGACACAATTGCACAATCCACCAGAGATGTAAAAGAAGGTATCACCCTATTCGAAAACGGAGCCAAGGAAGTTGGTCTAAAGGTCAATGAGGACAAGACCAAGTATATGGTGGGTACGAAGAACCCAAGGACAAGGGTTATACAAAACGTAACAATCAATGAATACAACTTTAAAGTCGTCAAAGAATTCAAGTACCTGAGAGCGATCATAACATCTGAAAATAAATACGAAAAGGACGTGGCAGCCAGGATCATTGCAGGAAAGAGGGCATATTACTCATTATTGACCGTATCTAAATCAAAAATATTTTCAATACTAAGACAATAATTCGTTCCACAATATCGCATGGAAGCGAGACATCCACTTTAAACCAGCGGGAAACGATAAATTTACTGGTACTGGAAATAAAGATACTGCTGACTATCTATGGGCCTTGCAGAGAAGAGACAACAGGAGAATGGAGAAGACGACACAATGATACACTCCAGACAGTATATGGACATGAAAACATAGTACGCTACATTAAAGCAAACCGAATAAGATGGGCGGGCCACGTGCTAAGATCGAGTGGCGAAAGACTCCTGAACGCCATATTCTGGGAAAGGCCCGATGGCAGAAGGTCAGTTGATCGCCCAAGAAAGAGATGAAAGGAGGCAGTAGCCAGTGATTTACGCAAAATGGGAATAGAGCAATGGGAAATAGCTGCTCAGGACCATCAACATTGAAGGGAATTAGTAAACGCGACCAAGACTCACATAGAGTTGTAGAGCCAAATGATGATGAATAATTTTTTTCTATTTTTCTTTTTTTTTCTTTTCTTTTCTTTTCTTTTCTTTTCCTTTCCTTTCTTTTCTTTTCTTTTCTTTTCTTTTCTTTTCTTTTCTTTTCTTTTCTTTTCTTTTCTTTTCTTTTCTTTTCTTTTCTTTTCTTTTCTTTTCTTTTCTTTTCTTTTCTTTTCTTTTCTTTTCTTTTCTTTTCTTTTCTTTTCTTTTCTTTTTCTTTTCTTTTCTTTTCTTTTCTTTTCTTTTCTTTTCTTTTCTTTTCTTTTCTTTTCTTTTCTTTTCTTTTCTTTTCTTTTCTTTTCTTTTCTTTTCTTTTCTTTTCTTTTCTTTTTTCCTTTTCTTTTCTTTTCTTTTTTTCCTTTTCTTTTCTTTTCTTTTCGTTTCTTTTCTTTTCTTTTCTTTTCTTTTCTTTTTTCCTTTTCTTTTATTTTCTTTTCCTTTTTTTCTTTTCTTCTCTTTTCTATCCTTTTTTTTTCTTTTCTTTTTCTTTTCTTTTATTTTCTTTTCCTTTTTTTCTTTTCTTTTCTTTTCTTTTCTTTTCTTTTCTTTTCTTTTCTTTTCTTTTCTTTTCTTTTCTTTTCTTTTCTTTTCTTTTCTTCTCTTGTCTTTTCTTTTCTTTTCTTTTCTTTTCTTTTGTTCTTTCAAAATTTCCGAATTTCTTATGTAGATTTTAATACACATTAAAACATACAAACAATGCTGTGTTTCAGCATTTAAATGCATTCAAATTTTTTTAAGGATACTTTATTTTAGGAATTACATTCACACCGACACTGGCGCTTTCTACAAAATCAGTGTTGTTATCGTACGTAATATTTTCAACCACATTGTCTCACGAACGCTACGTCACTATTGAAATTATTAAATTTCAGCAAACAATATCCTATTTTCCACTAAATGAACTGCTTTTCTCAATTAAAGCGGTCGGTTGTAAAAAAGACAAGATGGAATCTTATCTCGCTGCATTAAAGCGTTCTACAATATATTAGCAGACTATAATGGTGGTTATCAGAACACCGATTGCGAAACATACTCCGCAAAATATTTGGAGCTATAAACGACCAAGGGCAGTGGCGCAGAAGATATCATTTTGAATTGTATCAGCTCTTTGATGAGCCAGATGTCATAACGTTTATTAAAACACAGCTACTTAGATGGGCTGGACACTTAATAAGAATGCCAGAAAATACGACTGCTAAAAAGCTAACCACAGGAACACCTGTAGGAAGAAGAAGCAAAGGCTGACCGCGAATTAGGTGGTTAGATGGAGTTGAAACCGACTTAAGAATATTAAAAATCACAAGATGGCAACATGTTGCCAGAAACCGAACAGAATCTTAGAGCAGACCAAGATCCACAGAGGATTGTCGAGCTAAAGATAATGATGATGATGATGATCAGAACACCGAATATACATTTAAGTACAAATGTGAATGGTATTAGTATTCATCAAGCCTTCGAAAAGTGAATAACTGAGGATCGTGACGCAGACAAAGAGATACGTAGCAAAATTGAATAGGCAGACCAAGCAACATTTATGAACATGAGAACTCTGTTTAGCAACAAGCATCTTAATTTAACATTAACTCAGGGCTCCTTTAAGAGGTAAGGATTAACAATAAAAGTTAACTTCAGGAATTGGGGCCTTCGAAATATGTGTGTTCAGGAGAATCCTAAAAACCTTCCCGGACATATTATACAACCAACCAACGCCGAAGTATTACGCCGAATAGGGACAGAAATAAAACTTCTGCAACAAAGCGAAGTAAAGCAGCCTACTTAGGTCTATATATTTAGAAATTTAAAGTAGCAATTTTTAAAGTTTATTATGGAGGGAAAAATGAAAGGGAAACGAGGTCTCGAAAGAAGAAAATACTCATTGCTAAATAATATGAGGAAAAGAACAAACTTCGACAGCCATGCACTTTTCAGAGGCGTACAAAATCGAAACAACTATCTCAGAATTATCGTTAACATTCAATAAATAAAAAAGGCATCTTAAAAAGAAGAACCGTTTTATCTGGAGGAATCTAGAATACGTGTTTGTCTTGTCACTGACATTTGATATTTTTTGATATTAAATGTCAGTGACAAGACAAACACATATTCTATATTCCTCAAGATAAAACGGTTCTTCTTCTTAAGACATCTTTTACATTATATTAATATTTTTCTAGTGGACGGCCGTAGCTCAGCGGCAAGATACTGGCTTTGTAAACCAGAGAGCACGAGTTCGAATCTCGGCACCAACAACAACATCTTCATTTCTAAAAATGATACGAGCCGTTGAACGTACTCCGAAGAGCACGTAAAGCCGTCGGTTCCCTTGGGCTAGTGTGCATCGACACTAGCTACTTGAAACAGGGTTAAAGATCCAATTGGCTCCAGAACAATCTGATACGATCTCTCCAGCAAAAAAGCCATACGATATTATTATTATTATTAATATTTTTCTAGAAATTACTCGTATATTGTTTATTACTATTTTAGAGCACTCTTTTAGTTTTAGGTTTCAGTATATTCCAGTTGTAAGCAGTATTGTATACAATGTAAATAAATTAACAGGTATAAATAATTCGAACTGTGAGTTTAATTTCTCGTTAGCATATTTTTCTAATTTGATATTTCATTACCTGATTTAGATCTGGTAAACCAACCAACTGACAGTTTCTAACATTATTTGCGTCATTATAGTTATTAACTGTGCAAGGTTTGTTAAATTCGTCACTTATATAAGTTACAGCAGGATAGAACATGATACTGGGATAAGCAGAATTGCCTCCCATAGCTTTTCCAGCCTTTTGAGCCATACCATTCATCAAAACGTCAACATAAATCCTAAAAGAATATTATACCATATTATCTAAGTTTGATCAGTTTGTATAACTTTACCTAACTCCTACATTGTTACAACGTTGTATCATATCAATAAGTTCGTCTTCAGTTCCGGAACGGGATATAAATTGGTAACTAACGGGCTGGTACCGTTCCCACCATGGTCTGTTAGCTCTGGCTATCCGTATAATTTGGTTTTCCGTTGGAGGAGATATCTAAAATGATACAAATCTAGTGAAAGGTATAGAGAAGAAAAAAGAGTAGTATAAAAGATGATATATTTTGTAACGTCTTAATCTTGTTAGGACCAGGGCGTTAAGCAATACCACACTGCTGAAAGAAACGAGGGAAGAATTTCTTCGAATATCTCTAAGGATATTCAAGAGAAAAACGCCTACCGTTCCATCCATCAGAATAGTGCTCTGCCCGACTGCTCAGCCCTGTGTTCGTTCCCTGTTCATTCTCTCCCCACACCGATCCCAGAAAGGTAGAGGAAATAAAAAAAACTTACAAAGTTATAGTAAAGGTATATATATTTATTAAATAATAATGAACAGAATTCATATTATTATGAATGTGAAACAAAAATAAACTTTTAAACTGAGACTCAAAGATTCTGTCGGTTGCCGGTATAAAATAATTAAAGCATAAAAAAGTACTCAGCTTTAGTTCGTTCTGAAGGAGTCGTTCAATTCTCCAGGAAGGGTTCCGATCTTTGTGGAAGTTAGCCGCTGTCGGTGGTTGTTGGTTATTGGTTGGGTTAAGGGGGGTTGTTGATCTAGATTAGAGCAATTATTTTTGTCCTCAGGTTGGTAAATGGGTTTCAAATTATATTCTGCTGCATCAGTGGATTTAAGGTAGTATAGGTGGTTGCTGATTGTTTCCCCAAGGTAGTGTGGTTGGCTATTGCTTGCTTCTCACTGTAGTGGCCGTATATACGGCTAAGACACTAACCAATTTGTGTGACTTAAGTTTGATTGTAAAATGATTGTAGTGATATGATTGAAAAGAGCGAATAAAAATTTGTATCGTTGTATATAGAATGCACGGCTACTCACAATATTTATAATTTAGTGAGGTCGCTTTGAAATAATATCGTACGGGGGACAAGTACCATGCGGAGCTTGGTGACACGTTTGATTGGTTGATTGAAACGTTACAATTTAAATGATCAAACAAAGGATAAAAGTTTTAAAGAAAATTAATGTAAATGATAAATAAATTTTTTTAAATTCGAATTTACCTGCACTCCTGCAAATCCTTTGGGTCCTAGAAAGTTTTCACACTCCTCCGCTATATCTTTCCATTTCCATTCAAAAAGATGCACCATGGTACTCCTTCCAACTATGAAATGATTATCTTTTTGGCAAAAAGAATGCTGTATTACGTAAATAAGAAATATCGCCTTAAAATAAAACATTTTTCTTAAAATATCATTGATCACATCAAGCACGCCTGTAAAAAAATATACATGAATTAAAAATATTACTATTGAATGCGCTGTCAAAATGTTGTGTCAAATATTATGTCTAAATATTCTATCCATTCCTAAAATTAATAAAAACCAATAATTTGTAAAGTACAAACTGGGTTTTCCTGCATTAAAAAATGGTTGTATGGAAGTATACGTCCACTTATATATAAAACACTGAACTAGGTCATAATAAGAGTGCTTACAGAGAAGCAGTAACTAATAACAAAAAAAAGGAAAATATACAGATACAAACATATAATAAAAAATCCTTTCAAGAATATTTAATTAGTCAAAATGGCAAACTACATAATATACCTCCAATAATAGAAACAAGTCCAAATAGTAAATATTATGATTCTGATTATATCAAAGGATTTAGTAGGGCAATAACTCCTCAGCAAGTTAACTCATATCGCATTGATCATTCTAATATCTTGGACGACATAATGAATCTAGCACGAAAGCTAGAAGAGTCTGATAGATCTCATGTTTTAAATTTTATAATCCGGCTAAATAATGTTACAAATTTACATACCTCAAATTAGATAAGTGATAATTTAGACAATTAGTATCTGTAAATTATTAATTTTACAATGGAATTTGCACAGTGTTAATAGTAATAGAGATAGTCTGGTAATTTTTATCGAAGAATTGACCCGGTCAAAATTATATTAAATAAAAATTGGCTTAAACCGGATTTTTATTTTAGAGTTAATTACTTTATAATATACAGTACTGTTCAGATAAAACTATCCACCTTAAATGACTTCTTAATTTTTAATTTTTATTCATATATTTTTGTTTTTAAATTCCTCTATAAGAAGAAATCTAGGAGTGTTAAATCCGTTGACCTAGGTGGTCAATCCGTCATCTGTCCTCTCTACCTATCCAACGAACGGGAAAAGTTTCCTTTAAAAATTGTCGCACAGGTAGAGCAAATTGTGGAGCTCCATCATGTTGAAATAGAACCAAATCTTTGAAAAAGTTATTATCATTTTCTACTCTTGCTCGTATATGTCTAACCACTTGCATAAGTAACTCAAGATATGATGCACAATTTAAGTTTCCAGTGATAAAGAAGAGTCCGATAATGTGATCACCTGGGATATCACACCATACGTTTAACCTGTAAGGATGCTGTGTGTGAAATTTACTCTCAGCTTAGTAGTCAATATTGACTACTAAATCCAAGATATCCATATATATGTATATATATATATATATATATATATATATATATATATGATCGTAAAGATAATAATGAGGAATTGCAACTTTAATAAAATTAAATATACATGGCACAATTAACATAGATAATTCAAGATATCATAAAAAATTCCAAGCTATAGGTATTCTCTTAGAGGAATATGATATACAAATTCTGAATGTATATAACCCATCAATCAGTAGGATGTAGGAAAATGGCCTTAAAGATATAATACAGTCGTAATCATAGAAGATCCGAATAGTCATCAAACATTGTGGGGAGTTAATTATTTTGATAACAATTATAAAATTATTATGAAAATTTTTGCAGAGGAAAATTTAGTAATGTTTAATGATGCTACACCTACAAGATTGAGTCAACCAGGTTAAAATCCATCAGCAGAGGATCTGACTATTTCGTCTTTTGTATTGGCTGTAAATAGTGTATGAGAAGTAATTAATCAATTAAAAATCTCTAACGAAAGATATTATAAAAAGGCTAACTGGGGTCAATATTATCAGGATATAAAAAACTCATTAGTAAATAATTGCAGGAGAGAGGTAGATAATGATGATTTAATTAATATTAATATTAATTTGGCTTCTAAAACTATTCTCTTTTATAAAAGTGGAACATTCACAACAAAAAGTAATCAATGGTCGGATGCTGACTGTGATGAATTAATCTGCTTAAGAAGGAATACTATCAAACCATTCTCTTTCGCAGGGGTTCAATAAATTGTAAACGTTAAAAAGGATAAAGCCTCTGACTTAGATAAAATTTATAATAGCTGTCTCAACATTTTCAAACTAATGATAAATATAATTTCTGGCGCATTTTTTACTAGAATACCAAATATCAAAAACAAGTTGTATGCTTAATTCAAAATAAAAAACTGAACCTTAAAAGCGTTTTTTCTCGATTTCGATATTCCGACATCTACCTAAGGTTTTTGCAGTATACCGACGATATAAGAAAAACAATATTAATTTAGAGTATAGTGTTACGATTTTAAATGTTATGGCATATAGAACTGTAAATATTTTATGACTAATTCTTTTTATTGATTCTCGTAATTTGTAGGTCAAAATATACCTGAGCTTAGCTACCAGTTGTTTACCAGAAATCTCTAGACACTAATTTTGGTGAGTCATCCACGTCTCGAGGTTGAAAAACGAGTCGAGCGCCTTCACCAAAATACGAGACTATTCAAGAAGTCCGCCGAATTCTCTGGATGACAACAGTTGTGTATATAAATGAAAGATTTTTATTTGGCAGGGAGTCATAAGAAGCTCGGCAACCGCGATATTTAAATGTAACGAAACATAAATTATTATTTGTAATATAAATTAGAATTAATAAAGACTTTAATAAATTCGTAATTAGTTATCGTGAGTTTTAATAAATTAGATTATAGACAAATAAATTAGAACTATATAAACTTCACAGTGGTGTCAGAAAAAGTGGGATTGTAGATAAATTTAATTTGATTTTTGAAAAAGACTTTTGAACTTTTGAAAGGTATTGTTCGTCGGGAACATCCGCGTAGTCCAGTAGTGATCGTTGTACGAAAGAACATTTAAAAAGTACGTGTGTGCCTGACCAAAGATGCTGCTAGTAGAACTTTCAGTGAAACAGTTGCGTGAGCAACTAGAAGAACGCGATGAAGACTGCAGCGGGTCCAAGAAGATCCTCCAAGAACGACTGAAGACTGTTCTCAACAAGAATGGAGAAGACCCAGAGACATTCCAGTTCCAGTCAGCAGAAGAAGCAGTTTTAACGAAAATAAAAAATGTGTCGGAAATGATTGAAGAGACTTCTAAAAAAATTGAAGAATCTTCTAGAAAAAATGATGATAAATTCGAGAACGTTTCCAAAAGATTCGATGAAACTTCTCAAATTATTAAAGAAACAGCTAGGCAAAACGACGAGAAATTTGAAAATATGTCTAGAAGATTCGACGAAGTATGTATTCAGAATAGTGAGAAGTTTGAAGAAGTCTCTAAAACATTCGATAAAGTAGAACAGAAAATCAAACAGTTAGAGACCATGATAACTAACACGAGAGTGCTACCACCAATTAATACGGTAGCTTTAGATCCGGTAGAGATAAAAGAAGACGAGACAAAATGTAAGTTGGAAACACGGCCGAAATTTGAAGGAAGCGGAAGTTCCGTTCATGTCAAAGTCCCAACTTTCGACGGAAAATCATCATGGAACAACTACATGAAACAGTTCGAATCAGCTGCAAGAGCGAATGGATGGTCTGAAAAAGAAAAGGCTGTAAACCTGACTATCGCTCTTCGAGGAGATGCCTTAGATGTGCTCCAGACCATAGCCGTAGAGGAGACGGATGATTTCGAACAACTGAAGAAGAGGTTAAATATGCGATATGGCCACGAACACTTGGAGCATGTATATCAGTCGCAGCTCAAAAATCGAAGACAAAAGAAAGATGAGGCTCTTCAAGAATATGAAGTAGATATCGCCAGATTAGTGCGATATGCTTATCCAACAGCTCCCGAAGACATGATGGAAAAATTGGCCGTTCAAACGTTTATTGATGGTCTTCGTGATCATGAGATGCAGAGAACACTACGATTAGCTCGTCACAAGACGCTGATGGATGTCTTATCTGCCGCCCTCGAATACGAGTCAGCTACGCAGGCCTCTGGCGGGTATAGCAAAGTTAGGACTGTAAAAGAGGAAGGAGATGAAGATAAACTTGACCAGCTCTTTAATATGATAAAAAGCATGACACACAAGAAAACGAAGACCATAAGACCGAAGACAAAACCAGAACGCGTCGGCCTTAGGGCAGCAGCTTCGACCCAGAACTTTACCAAAGACCCTCTGATACTAATAGCTTCTTTGAAATGTCGTGAAGATAGTGTATATGTAGATGGAGAAATAAATGGTAAAAAGCATACGTTGTTGGTGGATACTGGAGCGACCAGAACCATTATACGCCCGACAGTTATAAACAGCCGAAAGAAACTGTTACCAACGAGGTTGCGACTTCGGACCGCCACAGGGGAAAATGCCAACATTCATGGAGAAATCCAGGTACAATTAGGAATTGGAGCAGAAAAGTTCGTCCATACTGTTATAGTTGCTGACATCGAAGAGGATGTTATATTAGGAATGGACGTAATGAATACGCATGGATTCCAATTGGATTTTAAGAATAAGGTAATCAAAGTTGGTAACGAGGAGGTATTTCTCCATCCACATGATGACAACACTATGCAAGCAGCCGTTAAAGAAGATACAGTCGTGCCTGCGAGAAGTGAAACAATCATAGTAGCGCGGCTACAGGGAATTGTGGACGAAGGGTCACCTGTTATGATGGAGCCTTGGAACCATGACGACGAAGTTGGCCGTGGAATCATAATTGGAAAGGAATTGGTGACCTCGGCTAAAGAAATTCCTGTTAGACTTATCAATGTCAATGACTACCCAGTGACCATCAAGAAAGAGACAAAAGTAGGAACTTGTGTACCTGTGACATCCATAATCCGTCAGACGACAACGTCTGATAATTCCAACGACAAATTTGATCAAATGGTTGCAGTTGCTGGACAGTCTCTGAATCAGATTGAGAAAAGGAAATTAAGGGAATTTCTTCGGCAGTATCGTGATATTTTCGTACCGAAAGGAGGAAAGACGGGAAGAACTACCGTTGTTAAGCATAGAATTGATACTGGTAATGCTAAGCCAATTCGTCAAACAGCTCGACGATTACCACAGGCGAAAAGAGAGGAAGCTGAAACG